GCCCTGCGGCACCCCCGGGACCCGGCAGCCACGCTGAAAGCTGGCGGTCAGAATTCCCCGAGTGTCGGCGGCGATTCGTGCCACCCAGGTGGCTGTGGTTCGGCGTGGTTCTCTCCAAGACTCTGTTTTGATCCTGTAGCGCGGCGTTGTTATAGCGAAATTCTTCCGGGCGACCTGGCGCACCTTTTGATTAAACACTAATTGGGTGTTGGTGCTGTGCTGGTGCAAGCTGCAGCTGTAGTGACTAATAATAGCCTAAGCCTCGCCCGCTGAGGGTTCTGTACAATCAGTGCAAGAAAGACAGGGAGATGCTGGAGAGGGTCCAGCGGAGGGCCACAAAGATAATTAGGGGTCTGGAGCATCTTTCTTATGAAGAGGGACTGCAGGAGATGGATCTGTTTAGTCTAAAGAAAAGAGAGCTGGGAGGAAATCTCATTAATATATATAAATATCTGAAAGGTGAGTCTCAAGAGGATGGTGCCAGACTCTTTCTGGTGGTGCCCAGCGACAGCATGAAGAGCAATGGCCATAAACTGAAACACAAGGAGTTTCACCTCAACATGAGGAAAAACTTCTTTACATTGAGGGCAGCAGACCACTAGAACAGGCTGCCCAGGAAGCTTGTGGAGTCTGCCGGTCTAGAGACATTCAAAACCCACCAGGACACGTTTGTGTGTCACCAGCTCGAGGTGACCCTGTTTTGGCAGGAGCTTTGCACTGGATGATCTCCAGAGGTGTCTTTCATCTCTAATAACACTGTGGAGCATAGAAAATATGGTATTGCTGAAAATCTGCCAAGTTAAAGACTTTTTCTCAGGCTAAAAATGTGCTTGAGGACGAAAAGCTCTTTTGTAAGGTCTTTCTGTGGATTTAGAAGAACAGTGTAGTGTGCTGAAATCCTAGTCTGCCACCAGTGTTTCAACAGTTAGAGATGATTCTTAAAACTGTGTATTAGAATTACCAGTTTGCATTAAGGCTCAGGAAGGATGGGTGTCTATCGACTGCCGGGGCTTTCTTCTGCAATGCTGTAAAAGGAAACAAGGACATATGGTCTTAGTCGTCTTAAGCCTTTCCAAAAAAGCAAAGAGAACTCATTAGACAAGTCTAATCTATTTTTTTTCCTAATGGGAAATCAAATGAGATACTTCTCAAAGTCATTTGATAGCTAGACTTCCCCTTTAAACTTTCCTTTAATACTCTGTTAGCCTTGATGATAATTTGATAAAATACTTCTGAAGAAAAAGATACTTCTAAACACATCAAAGACTTTCAAGCAACAGGGTCCTTGGTTCCGGATGTACTTTTTTGTGGCCTGTACAAATTCGAGAGACTCTTGTGTACCAATAGGCTGTCTTTCATCAAGAAGATTAAAGGGCTTTATTACTGATATTGAACACTCTTTCTTGCAGCAATCAAAGATATTTTTATTGAGTAATAGGCTTGATTTAAATTTTCCATAGTGAGTGAGGAAGAAATGCACAGAGCATCTTTTCCTGCATGATCAGGCAAGGTACTGTGTGTATGTATGTAAGTTTCTAACGCTGAGAAAGTGAAGAACTTGGATGCTTTGGAGAGAGAGGGAGGAAAGGAGAGGTCATTTCAGAACTGTGATTGTGAGGAACAGAGTTATCACATGGAATTGTGCACTATAGGTTGTCTTATCAAGAGTCAAACACAGCTTGGCTGGCATTAAAAACTGTGCTAATGCTATCAGTGTTGGACATTTCTTCAGGCTTTTCTTACCTCTGGGATCATACTTGAAAGTTTTGAAGAGGCTGCATTTTTCTCAGTAGACTTCCTGTTTGATTGTTTGATATTAATGACAGCATCAGAAAAATAAGATATTAAACATAACCATTTGGTTTAAAGACCTATTATGTTAATTCTGCTGGGCAATTTTTCTCTTGAAGTTTGTGCTTGGCAGTTAGTAGGATTGAACTTCACAGAAAGTGCTCAAGTCTTTTATGGAGCTGAAACAGGAGACCTGCTGGTGAAAATGCTCCCACTTTGCTTGGGAGACAAAGGTCGCTGGTCTCCAGGTTGACTTTTTTGCCTCGACTCACTCCTGATTGCTTTTTGAACAGCTCTGGACTGCAGTCTTGTCCCTCAAACATTTAGCTCTCATGCAGGTCTGCCAGGTCGATCTCATGCTTGTATGTCAGAGCATTAAGTCCAACTTCACAGCATTCTTTCTTACTTGAGGTGAGCAGTTTAGGTCATAAAGGAAAATGGATGAGAAAAGTTGCATAGATCTGAGGTGGTGGAAAGACTTAGCTGTAATATCCTGGCAGCTAGCACAGTGCTCCATGTCTTGTCCTAAAGTCTTCACGTTCAGCCTGTGCAAGACTTCATCTTTTGGCTTCGTGATGTCACCAGGTAATTTGTGTTGTTCTTGAAAGATGCTGTATCCTGTTTTTCTCAGTGGCATTGTGGTGTATGATTTTTTTTTTCTCCCCACTTTCAGAAGGAGCTTCTGGTAGAATAGTTCAGCAATGTCAAAGTAAGATCTTCATGCTAGCTTGTTGTGGTTTTCTTGTGTGCTGAGAGTCTTGTCCTGAGAATTTAGAGGCATAAGGAGAGGTTAGAGTTTTCATTATGAATAAAATACAGCCTGGTGTTCAGGTTGCAGTAAAGGCTGCTAACATTATTTATTTATTTATTTATTTATTTATTTATTTCCTCTTGACATGAGTTGTGGCAAAACTTTTTATTTGATGAAACTGAGGCTCACTAGGAGCAGTCTGTTGGCTTAACACTTTGTTGAAAAATAAGGCTGAAATGGCTGTTTCTCTAGAATCACTAATTGGGTGGTGGTTTAAATTAGCTGCAAGGCAAAACCTAGTTTGAATTTGATCTGACTTGGATAGGTGACAATGTCAAGTAAACTCTCCATTTTGTTGCCAGAGAGGGAGACTGAATTGAGTTAAATGAGTAGCATGATTTCAGTTTGCAGTGCAACATACTGGTTTTGTACCTGACATAAAGATGCAGCCTTTTTGTTTAATGGTTTCAAATCTTTTTTTTTCTCTGGAATATTTGAGAAGCTTAAGGACCAAAATATTAGGTGCTTAATTATAATCAAGCACCATGAGCTGAGTGGCACAGGAAAGTACTCTGAAGATTTGTAAGAGATGAAGTTTGTCCTTGTGTCACTTTTGCTTAGTTTTGCTGCCTGGAAGTAGTGCGCTGTATTGTGCTGGACATACCTGGCTTTGCCAGATGCCTATGTATTACAGTGGCCTTAGACGGTCACTGTGGTGAGAGAAGGATGAGAATCTTGTTCCTTGATCAGAAGGCTTGATTTATTCATATAAGATATATAATACATTATAACTATACTAAAAAGAATAAGGAGAGAGGTTGCAGAGAGCTGCTAAGCTAAGAATAGAATAGAAAGAATGAATAACAAAGTTCTGTGTGCAGGGAATCTGTCCCTGAGCTGCCCCTGTGATTGGCCTTTAATGGTACACAAGGAAGATGAGCCAATCACAGGGGCACCTGCTACATTTCACAGCAGCTGATAACAATTGTTTACATTCTTCTTCTGGGGCTCTGCTTCCCAGAAGATGGAAAAATGTGAAAAAAAGGATTTCTATGAAAAAATGTCTGCGACACCTATGGACATCAATATCGAAAAGGAAATTAGAGTAGAAATACTTAGCTGGAAAATGGGAAAACCAGTCATAGTCCCATTTAAAACTTTTGCTCCAGGCTGTTTCAGACAAAAGCAGAGCACCTTGTGATGGTGTCAGAGAAAGATGTGTGAAAGACACACGGTGTTTCTGGAAAAATATCTCCCTTGCATAATGAGGAATATAGACTTCATGAATTTATCTGCCATGGCTCCAACAGCAGTGAACTGCTTATTGGAAGTTAGGCCCGTCATTGTAATACAGCATTTGGAAGAACACTTTGCATTTGTTCTGTACTATTGCATCACATCTTTCCTTGTTCTTTTGTCCAGTTTATCCCATGGGGCATCTGCCACCTTAGAAAATGAATTTTACTTTCACTTTTTGTAACTGTTCAAGGCGGAAAGAAGCTTGAACCTCCTGTTTAGCCACAAATATATATAGCATTATACTGCCATAGAAAGACACTTGCAGTAATGATGGCTTGAATTGTTGCCCCTCCAGGTTGGCCTTCGGCAGCTGGATATGTCATTGCTGTGTCAGCTCTACTCCCTGTACGAGTCCATTCAAGAGTACAAAGGTGCCTGCCAAGCTGACTCTAACGCAGACTGCTCGTACGCCATGGAAAACGGATTTTTTGATGAAGAGGAGGAATACTTCTAGAAGCAGGAAGATTCCCCTCGAGGCTGACTAGACTGAGGTTCTTTGGTCCTTCTCTCCCTCTAACACACCTCAACAACAACGACTGGAATTTGTATGGATCCCTCTTCCTGAGGAGGAACACCCAGCTACCCCGAGTTGTGTTAAATTCTCTTATTTTAACAGGCTGTCAGTACAAGTTACTCATGCAAATACCACTTGAGCAAAGTGCTGTACTTTAACTTTTGAAGAGTCTTCAGACATGCTTGACAAGAGTTTTCAATTTAATTTGGAAGGTGGGTGTTTTCATCTTACAAACATCGGTAGCTTATAACTGGAATTCTAATCGTAGTAGACAGCAGCGACTTCCTGAGTTGTAATAACTTCATAAGGGGGGAGGGAAGCCTCTGCTGTGGTGTAAATAGCTCTAGGTGGTTTTTGGGGGGTCAGTGGCATTGATAAATGCATTTTGAACAGGCATCTGGATGCACGCACATCCTCAGCACTACTAAGCTAGTTCTGCTCTTACCGGCTGCATCCAGTTTTGTACTGGGTGAATTGTTTACACAGTGAATTTTTTTTTCTCCTTAAGCTAATTTATTCCTAGCTTACAAGCTGTACATGTGATAGTGAATGTTATCAGCAGGGGTTTTTTTTCTGTTGATCTAATTCACTTTCTTGGTACTGCCACTTGGCATTAACTTTTATACTCTTCTCTGGATTTCTTGCATCAACGTAGCTCTTTGACCTGCTAAACGCTGCTCTGAAAAGGTTTGCTTAGCTTTTACTGCACTGCATAGTAAAAGCACGTTTTCAAACATAGTCTGTCTGCCACTATGTGGCTTGGAATAACATGAACTCTTGTGCAAGTGTTCTTGATCATATGAAGAATAAGGAAACCTCTCATATGACACAATGGGACAAATTGCAATATTTTATACTGGGTGAACTTTGTTGCTGTAAGGTAGATGACAGCTCTTTTTAAAAATGCGAAATAAGTATTTTGAGCACATACTTTGCATATGTTAAAACTTTTTATACTAACTTGTTCTTTGAAATATAACTTATTTTTGTTTTCAGAACTTACTAAAGCACTTGGTTAAGTTTTTATTAATTCATTGTGTGAAATGCTTAATCAGCTGAGAGTTGCCAACTATCTGAGTTTTCACCCTTCTCTATTTTAAGTAAAATCAACTCCCAATGTGATTTTAGTTTCTTAAATTTAATTCTGAAGATTGCTGTAAAGCACAGTGCCTGAATCTTGACACAAGGTAATAATTAAGGGCTTAAACCTCAAAGGGTTTTTGCATGGTTCATGTCTGGCATGCATGCAGTTTGCAGGAAGAATTGGAGATCACATTCTGGGGTAGCCCCTCTGTTAGTTTGTAACAAAGGCTAGGATGTTTCAGTGATAAAAGCCAAGAGACTTCCAGGGTGCATTCCCTCTAAAACTGGCTTATTTTAGTGGAATTCAAAGGCCACGAGAGTAAAGACTGTGCTGTGATTGTGTGTGTGTATAAGTTCTTAATCTAGTCTGTGGCAGTGGTTGGATATTTTTTTAATGTTAATTCTGGTCTAATTGCTTCACTCACCCAAAACTACACTGAATGATAAGGAAAACACAGATAATTCAGATAGTTATATCTGTACTTAAAAGTTGTGTGCCTATGTGTGTATACATGTATAAATATATATACACACACATATTTACATGCAACTTTCTGCTTTGACTTAAGAATGTATACGCTTTTAGTATAATTTGCTGTGCTTTTAGTATTTACATGAGGCTTTTTCTAGTCTGTTGAAGTACTGCTATTTTCTTGCTCTTTCCCCAAAAATAAAAAGCATGATGTTTAGCATACCTTTCTAATGTTGTGTGTATTTTAATTTACCTTTTCAGTGAATACAAACCCTACCCCCCTTCCCAACCCTCCCATAGGAAAACTAGGACTAGTCATCACCCTGGACTGAAGAAAGCAATTTTTGAATTAAATTGGGAAAAATTCCACCCACCTCTATTTGGAATGGAATTTCCTGCTTCTCTGTCTTAATTGGATTTTATTTGGTTTTGAATTCAGGAGAAAATCCTGTTTCTACTACTAAAACTAATAATTCTGTTTTACAGATCTTTAGACAGCCATTCCTTAATAGTCTTGGTGATGAGAATGGACTTGAGCAAAATTCACAGTACTTTCTCTTACATAAATAAAAAAGCAAAATGATTTATATTTCTAATCCTGCTCGTGATTTAGGCAACGTGGAACATTTGGCTGGTATTCGCTCTACCAAGGGAAGAATAAATGTCCTAAAGCACTACTCCACAAAATTTGGACTGAAAAACAGGATGGATTATAAGGACTTGCTAAGTTTTCAGCACCCTGCCCCTTTTAATAACACCATCTTGCATGGGAGAGAAGTTATAGTCTGTGTTCCTAAGGAAAACCCAAATGCCACAAGGGCACAAAGAAAAAGGTTTTAAAACTAAGCAATAAGCAGTTGTTTCAGAGGCTGATTTCTATGCCTGATGTTGCAGTTTTGAGCTGTATCTCTTTTCCACATTATTACAGCATGAAATTGCTCTGAAAGAGGTGCTTGGTATGAAAGTGTAGCTTTAAATACTGAGTAGTTGCTGCAGGCAGCTTCAGTCTGAGTTTGGTGTGCACACAACAGAACGGAGTCATGTTACTACAGAAGCTTCCTACCCATGGTCCGAACCTCATCCCAACACAGCTTTCCCATTTTGAGTCCATAACCCCAGGGCAACTCCTAAGTTTTTAAGGATAACATTGTACATTTTAAGGATACAATGAAAGAAACCCTTGGAATCTTCTCTACCCAGCGAACCCTGCGGAACTTTTCCAGTCCCGCGTAGCACAGGCAATAATGAGCAGGCCCAGGAAAAGACAGGTTTAGAAGGAAGCAAGAACAGTCAGGCTCCTGCTGCCCAGAGGTGGCAGGAAGTGAGTGCAGCAGTTCAGAAGGCAGTCTATGCTGTGTGACTTCAATGGCCTTTCTCCAAAGGGCCTATAAATGTGGTAAAGCAGTTAGAAATAATTGTTAGTTCTCCACTAGCTGTACTTGAAGTTTTATTTTTACTTCACAGCATATCACCCTCATTCCATTGCTATGACAACTGCAGAGTCATACTGTCATAATTACATTACAGTTTAGCTCCCTGGAAATTTCCTTAGTCTACAAAAAGAGAAGAGTCTGGAAGAGAAGAGTCTGCTCTGCTTTGGAGAAAGTGAGTGCCAAAAAGTAATGGGTGACTGATACTAAGGCTAATATAACAGATGAGCATTAAGGTTCAGCTTCAGCTCCTGGTCAAGTCACTGTCAGTGCTATTGACTTTAGTGTAGATTGATTTCAAAGCAGGGATCTTCTCCTAAAATCAGAATTGCTGTTTGTTATTTCCAAGACTGTGGAACAGCTGCATACTTAGATAAAGGAGATATTCAAATACACACTACAAATGTATTACTAGAAGGTACTGCATTACTGCACTGAAATGCAGTAGGCAATCATTAGAATAGTTTGTAAAAAGCATGAATGTTGCTTCAAAGAAGGAGTTTTTCCAATAAAGATGGGGCAAATCTGCACTCAGTTTATGCATAGTTTAGATGCTTGTTTAAGTTGAGGCTTTAGTACAGTATTTGGTGTAGTCATGAGATTGGAACACTAGGAGAATTAGGCAGGAATTACTATAGTATTTGTAATAGTATAGTATTAATTTAGTTCCTAATCATAGGTAACCAATCATTTTATGTGACTTCTAAAATAAGTGGATTTTTTAAAAATTATTTTTACGATTTCTTGTAAATAAGACAGTTTGCAAATTGTAAATGCACTGAAGAGAGTAGCAAAGCCCCCACAGTGCTTTATAATTGATCTAATTAGTACTTATTTACAAGCCTAAGGTTTTGTGTCACGTCTAGCCTTCATCCTAAGGAAATAAAGTGTATGCAGTAAATCTGTCCAGGCATTTTCCATCAGTCTGCTTGCTATGAACAAGCTGATAGGACAGAAGTTGGTCTGTTCTTAGAAAGCTTGTAAGAATTTGGAGCTGGAGGAGGAGAGAGACTTAACTGCTTCTTCCTTGGACAGGATCACAGTTATAATTCCCCTTTTGGCTTCTGTTAGGCCACCCTGCTGCCAGAAGGCAAAAGCTGTGTGGTCACACAGCTGCTGGCAGCTCTGCAGTGCTGGGTGCCAGGGGGCAGTGGGAAGGAGATGAGTCTCAGCACAGCTTTTAGGGAGTGAGGATGAAAACTGCCTACACATCAAGGGGGCTGCCTTCAGTGGGATGCTAGAAGGGAAGAGCAGTGGGGAGGAATGTTAAGAGTTTCTGGAGGTGAGAGCTTGGCACAGTTTGGAAGAGATGCTGAGGTCTTGGGACACGAATTCTTTGAAGTCATATGTTTGATTAGTTCTGCTGCTGACGCCTTGGGGAATTTTTTATGCCCTTTTTTGACCTGTTTAGAGGCTGGGGTTCCACTACTTGTTGTGTATTTTTAATGTGGCAGTCATTTGTTGCAGGTATGCATTTTTGCTTAACTGAAAAGAATGTGTTTTCTTTGACTTTATTTAGCTGCCTAGCTAAAGCCATCCATTTTCCTTGAGGAATTAGATTGCTCTGAGGGCAAAGGAAACTAATTCCCCCAGTCTGCTGTTCAGCTGGCTGCTGGAGAGGAATGTGAAATGGATAAAGCAGGTATGTGCCAAAGGGAACCCTAACAACAGGTCTTTTCTCCAATGTACAGCTCTGTGACCTTCAGCCACTTTGAAAGAATTTACTCTGTTTTTGTGAAGCCTGCCTGTACAGGATACATTACCACAGCAGTTTGAGGTTCATATTCCTTTTCATATATGACATGCATTTTCTCAGAAAATAACTCCTCAGAAGTAGATTTTTCCATCTATTATCTTTGGCTTATTTGAAGTTACTACATTTAACTCTGGACAACGCTGCATGACCTAAGGAAATAACTTGTTTATTTTCTTAGCAAAGTAGTTAAAAGATTTCTCCTATTTCCAAAGTCATCTCCTATTGATTTTAACATTTTCTGTGAGTTTCCAAGCTCCCTATGTGTAAAGCCTCTTAACTGCTTATTCTATGATCCTGGGCTCTCCAGCTCTGCAGGCAGCTTTGCAAACATCCAGGGTCTGCTGTGAGGACTGGGTTCTGCCACGGCTGAAAGAGCCTGGGGATCTGTGCACAGGGACACTCTCCTGAGCTGAGGTGGCTGCACAGAACCCAGATGTGCTCTAGGGATTCAAGCCAAGGTAAGGCTGTGCTGGACTGGCACCTGCAGCTTGTGGGGCAATTGCATCTTGTGAGGAATGAAGAGGATTAGCAAGGGGCTCTCACTGAGATGACTCACTCAGCAGTGAGTTTGGCTATTTGGTTTTAAATGACAGAGGAACTTTGGAGGGGATGAATACTCACTGCAAAAGTCTCTTTCCCTTAGGTTTTTGGCCCCTTCTCTTTCATCTGTTCTAGTCGCAAAACTTAATTAAATGATTGTGGAAACAACCAGCCCTAAGTAATGAAGCCAACATATGATTTCAGAGGAATGTGCTTTTAGCAGTAGAATTTACATTTTTCAGATAAGGTTGGTATGCAAGTTAAAAAGACAAAGCTATCTGCTACTGAAATACACAGACTTGTGACTATTTTGGCTCTTCTCTGAACTTTTGCCACAGATTATAAATGCACATATGCTAAGACTTTATTAAGATAATGTCTTCAAGAGAATGTAATCTTTCACAATTCCTCAAGTTTAATATGTGAGGAGAAATCCCATGAAAATAATGGATTGTTAGAATTTAATGACTGAAGCAGATTGTTTGTAATTGTTGGTGCATAGAGAGTTCAGTTCTATGTCAAACCACGGCCTTAAATTCATGTTAGCAGTTCAATCCTCCTTGCAGTGCTAACTACTCACTTTCAGAAATCACAAGCATTTCTTCCACAGGTCAGAAATGTCCCTGTGATTATCTGGGTAGACACATGAGTAAGAGTTTGTGAGCTCCTTTTGGCTCAGGATACCAGGTGCTGTCACAAACAATAAAGTCGCCTGTCTGAGCCCTACCAGCTCTTGCTTAAACTCTTCTGACTCGTCAAACAGCAGAACCTTTTAAATCATTTACAAGCAGGCAGTGTAATAAGGTCGTTTCTTCAGTTATGAAAGCACCTGCATGACAGGGGCAGTACATTTTGTTGGGTTTTTTTCCTCTCTCAACTCTTTACAGTATCTTTGGTTACCTGAATCTTAATTTTAACAAAGCACTAATTATTTGTACTGAAAGGCCTCATGGATGATGGAAAATTCAAACACTGAATGCAGAGGTGACCTGACAAGTGAAGTTTTGAGAAAGTAAAGTACAAGCTTATACAGGACCACATATTACCTCTTCCATCACTCCTAAACAACATCAAAGGCTGTATGGTGGAATAAAATAACTTCTTATATGCTATGTTGCACTAAAGGTAAACAACTAAAATATTAAAACGGTTTGGTATAGGGGAAGGACATTTTATCAGAATCAGCTGAAAAAAATAGTATATAAAATCAGAGAGAAAATTAATTTCTCATAGTATTAGGATATCAAAGCTCTGTTACTATGTGAATTTTGTCCTGTATGAACAATTTTGTATCTTTAAAATAACCTTGCTCTTTCTGACTGATACTTAGTCATGATGCTCAAACTGGAGAAGCATTTCCTTAAATACCTTGCATCATTCATATGACCTGTAGAGAGCATGGAATATATAGCACCTATTCAATGTATAATTTGTGTGCATTTTTAGAAGAGGAAAGACATTTATGACCAGAGTTCTAGTATATTTTTGGAGACCAT